CAGTATACATCAACAAGTGTTTTTTAAGTGAATAAATAATTATTCAGCTAGCTATTGAATAGAAAAAAAGGTATTGGATTACAGATACATCTTTGAGAGGGATATAGCCTCGTAGGGGGACTATTCTAACACATACAGCACAATCGAGCCACGTAATTAACGCACAAAATGGAGTGGCAAGTTGTGTATGTCCTACAGCGTGTAAATACTACAAAAACTTGGAGTAGGGACAAATTAAAGTACTGTAGAGTTCATCTGGGGGCTAGACAGGGTCAAGGTAGGATTTGCGTAAGCCTTTAAGGATGTTTAGAATCTGGATAGGAAAAAAATCTTGCTGGAAAAAACGTCCTGAGACAAGTAGAGGTGGATTCTGACACAAACTCCTTCGGACGTTAAGGAGAAGCCAGATTCCTTTTGCTCAAGGTCGGGAGACCCGTTGGTTGAGGGGGAGGACTGGACTTTCTCAACGCCTTTGCTTAGCAAACAAAGAGCCGAATCAGTATTGCCATTGCCTGGCATCTGCCAAAAGCAGCAGCTTTTTAGTCGCTTACACTTGCTTGGCTTCAACTGGTGAGCTTTTCGGCTCTGGCTCTGTCCCCTGGTTCCCCTTTTCTTGTCGCGGCCCCGTCCCCCCCGGGTTTCTCGCACGAGTTTGGATTCTCTGCGGGATGAGATCAGAGGTGCTCTTGCTCTGTGCGTGCACGTGTAGCTGTCGCTTAGTTCACCCCTTCTAAGGCGTTTTCTAGGGCTCACCTGCTCAGTGAAAAAAAACCCGGGGCCTAAAGCAGTTCCCGCGGTGAGAAGTACTCCCGCCCTCTCCCACAGGCCGCGGAGGGCGGGGTGGGCGACGCGAGTCAGTGAGCGATGGCGCGAGGCTCGGTGTGCGCATGCTCCGAGAGCCCGGCCCGGGAAGGCAGCTTCGAGACTCTCTCTCCCAGAGTCAGGGCCCGCTTTCTCCTCAGGATTCCGGGACGGCCGGAAATGGGCGGGGCCAGGGCCGGAAGCGCAAGGGCGGGCGCCTGCCCGCTAACCTTCTTCCATGGAGGAGCGTCTGAGGTGTTCGCTGGTGACCTGATGAGTGTGTGAGAGGTCTAACGTCTGGTCTCCTTTCCATTTTACCTCCGGGCTGGAAAACTTGACGGAAATCTGATACCAAGGAGCGGGTGGGGAGATAACCCCTACGCTAAGTTCCAGTATTTAGGGAACTTCTGCCCGGGCCTCCTCAGACCAGTTGCTTCCTTTTGCTGCCCACCGCCTCTGTCTTGCTTTTATGCCTTTTCGGCACCCGTGCCCCTCCTAGCGGCCTCCGACGTTATGTATGATCGGGCTTCCCGCTTGCTCAGGTGGGCTGAAGGTGGCAGCACTGAGGCCCATGTGGGTCCCGGGTCCTACCAGGTTCCTTTCCGGAGGCAGCAGGCAACAGGTAAGATGTGGTGGAAGGCGACCCGCCCGTGACGGGCACCTCGTCTTCAGCCTGCGCCACCTCTGTGTGCCTGCGAGTTAAACGTAAAGTGACGCAGTGCCACTTTGTAAGTATAATAAAACAGGAAGCAGGCGGGGAAAACACAATCCTTATTTTACAGATGAGAACCGATAGTATCACTTGTCCCATTTCACAGGCTGGTAAGCACGTGACTAGGAGTTTTGATTCAGCAGTGGTTGTCTGCGTCGTAATTTTGATTGTACGGTTTAGATCTAGGATTTTGATTTCCTGACTCTTGACTCTATGAGTTTCCAAATCCTGTGCATTTTCTTACCTCCTGATACCTCTTTTCTTTGTCATTCTGTCTGCCTCGCAAACCCTTCCTTCCCGCCTTGCAAACCTTCTTCCTTCCCATTAACCAGAGAGACGTTTATTTACTAATATATAACTTAAATTTCTATTTTGCAGTACCGTTTAAACATAGTCCCAACTATTTTTCAGGCAGATGCTTCTTATCTGACCATCCCCATTTCTCTCTGAACATATACTTCGTGAGAGCCCCTTTTCCCCACATTCTGTAAAGAAAAGCCATATGCTTGAAAAGTGGAGTGGGGATAGATAAT